ATTCTTTCTCCTTAACTCAGAACATTTAGCTGAAGTTCAGCTCGGAGCTTGTTTATTAGAAACTTATTTCTCCAACAATGCATGCTTATCTTGTACTTGAGTAAATGGAAACAGCAAATAATCTTTTTTATGACAACAGCTGAAATTTGCAATCTTTGCTTCAACTATCAATTTCAAGCAATTGTAGGAAATAAATTTTACTTTTGTAGGAAAGTAAAATTGGATTAAAAATACCTTGAAGCCTACAGTGTTCTTGAAAGAGAACACCAAAAGCTCTGTGATTTCCTTTTGCGCAGACTAAAACAAAGTGTAAATGATTGTGTGCTTCTAAACTTTCTTACAGAGGCAGGACTGGTTCCTCTGTAAATCCAGTCTGCCACAATGGCAGCTGATAATAAATGGTTTCTGCTCCACCTGCCTGTGCTGAAGCTTCCTGTGTTGATGATATGTATGATGCTTGGTGGGGTGGAGATGACAATGTAGGTGTGGAGGAAGTCAAATGCAGGTGTTTGTGGTAGGGCGTGTGTGTGTCTGTGTGAGTGTTGGTGCATGTGAGCCCAGGTGGGTGCTGACAGACCGGCAGGTAAACAGGCAGGTTGGTCTCTGATCTCACCTGCTGGAGCAGACACAGCAGCGCCTGCAGGGCTTTCGCAGCGGAAACATGTTCTTTATGTGATGCTGAAAGGCAAACTTTTTTTTTCTTTTCTATTCTCTTTTCTTTTTGTTCATTTGTTTCATCCTCCTCTCCAAGGTACATTCACCTAGGAAATGCACAAAATACAAAAATGAACAATGAGCAGTTGGATGATAGAGTGCTACGCCTCCGGGTAGCAGCAGTGCAGGTGGGCTCGGGACAGGTGGGAGGTGATGACAGTGCTTGTGTTTGTGTGACAGGAAGGTTTCTGAGTGTGCTCTGGCTTCATAAGGTGGTGCTTTGGGGAAAAGGAATGTTGCACATCCGAATTAGAACAGACCACCCCTATAAACTCTGAGAAAGTTAGTCTTACTTGCAAGTCAAACACACACAGGAATAGCAGCTGTGGAGTTTAAGCCCTGATATGAAGTGGCCAGGTGAGCGGCTCAAGTCTCATGTTACATAGTCCGGAGGAAGTCTGTGGATTATCTCCAGTTTCTTATGTAATGTTTTCTTTCTGTTTAAGGTCACTCGGTTTATTTTGGCCCCTGAGTGCTTTATGGTGGGTGGCTTATTGCTTATTGAGCAACAGGAAGGGCGACCTCAGGAAGACAGCAATATTGTAAAGGAACTTGAGCCCCTGATGGTTTTACAGCCAACAGACTGATGGAATGAAGTTCCTGTTTTCTTAATTGAAGCTCTATTACAGGTTTATAGACAGCAAATACATATACACTCGTGGCATTGTGCTCCTTCAAAAACATTATTTCTTCTCCTGTTTATGTAATGATCTATAAAACGTCGCTAAACTACAAACATTAGTAATTTGGGGGCATTTAAAAAATACTTTAAACAGGTTTGTTTTTTTGAAATAGTACTGTTTTTTTACGCCTGTAATCAAGTTTTGTTTTCACTTTTACTTCATTGTGTTAATATTTCCCTGGTATTATAGACTTTTAATCTTTACTGATAAACTTTATTTGTCTTTTTAGTTGTGCATACCAACAAAATGTGTCTTCTGCTCTTTACCCACTACCCATAAGGAGCAGCGAGCAGCTTACATTCATCTAGGACTAAGGGCCTTGCACAGGGACCCAGAGTGCCACTGTTTGGAGTTCTAGCTGTGTACTTGTGGTCTTCTCAGAGCACAAGCACTCTTCTCTAATCAAAAGGCCGCCATTCCCACTCAGAACGGCTTGCTGTAGATTAATTCATCTAAGTTAGTCTTAGAAGAATATGGTTAGTAGCTAGCCAACAACTAGCAACCTACTTCTATTCTAAGGAGCAATGTCTTATATAAGCTGATGGCTTCTATGAAACTAATGGGAGAGGCTAAGAACTACTCAGAGAGCATGCAGGAGATGAATATTTAGATTATCTGGTACAGCAAAGTAAGACTAATAGCTTAAGGTTGGGGCACACTGCTTGCATCTAATTCTATATATAACTCTCTCTCTATATATATAAATATTCAACAGGGATTTTAATGTAAAGAAAGCAGAGCTGTTTCACTTTGCTTCTGCGTCTCTTTTCTACTCAAACTCAAAATGTTGCCACTGAATCGCTCCGTAGGTCCGACCAATATAAACCAGTGGTTAATCTCGGTTGCAGCGACAACAGCACAGTTACTGGGATTATATGTGGTCTGACCAGCCCCATACATTTTCCACGAGCTCTTAGTGCTATGACCTCATGCGATCCTTTTTTGGGTAAATTGTATCTGGTGTGTTCAGACCTTTAACTGGGAAGATAAAAAGCTAGTCTGGGAAATAAAAAAGGCTTTGATTAGTGAGTAAAATGAATAAAAATTTAACAGATACTTTGAAAAACCAAGAAAGTATCAACTGGTCTAAGAAGCTCTCCGGCGGTCTGAGAATGATCAAGACCAAAGCGGACTTTTACCTTCTTAAAATGGCTATAATACTTTTTTTTTTTTTTTTTTTTTTTTTTTTTTTTTTTTTACAGTTATCAAGAAACATTACTTTAAAAACCTTATTATTGTCAAAATTGCATTGGACATTTAGATGGAGGTTGCATAATATTTGAATCTTGAAAGTTATTGCCGGTAAGGCAGTGACAAAAAAATGAAATATCTATTTTAATACTGTAGCATTTCTGCATTTTTTAAAATTACTTTTATATTAGGTACTTTGACTGTAACCACTCTGTTTGCTCTCAGGGTGTTTAACAAAAGAACATCATTGATGATGGACCACCTCTGGCCTGCAGTTCCCATGTAAAAAAAAAAAAATGTTTCTGTGTAAATAAGCACCCAATATAAACATGATGGTTTAAAGGTCCATAAAACAGTGCTTGCATAAACTGCTTTGGTCTTTGACACTGCAGCTGTTTTAGACTGTGAAAGTCCACTTTGGTCACAGCCAATTTCCGACCATCATACAGCTTTAAGGACTAACTGAATTTCTAGTAAAAAGGCAAAAAAAAAAGCTTTTCCTCTGCAGTACTTATAACATTTAATATAACCTTTATTAAAGAAAGTATAAACTTTCCTTTTACTGTTCTTTAATTGCATAGAAGAGAAAAAAAACCACACACCAGCCAGGTATATTTAACAATATATATTTCCATTGTCAATGTACATTCCATTTCAACATAAGCTTTCTTCACAAACAAAAACTTGGCATCTAAATAAATACTATATAAAATAGAACTTCAAAATAAATATATCTATAAAGGGAACCTTTGATATGAGATTTTTTTTTTTCCTTTTTGTAATATCTAAACAAATAAACCAACAAAAAGCACAGATCTCATTTCTTAATCCCCGACAATTGAAAAGTCACAAAGGAACAGGGTACCAACTGTATGATAGTTTTCAATTTGTGTAAAAAGAAAAAAATCAGGCTGCATCGGTGTGTAAAACAAAAAAAAAAACCCAACTACTATAGATTCTGATTTCATTATAGTTGATGTTTTTAACACCATGGAGGCCATTGAGCACATAATAAAAGAATACTACATATAAAGGCAGCAGTTTCTGAAAAGAGAGAGGTGCAACTGGTGATAAAGAAAACAGGAGAAAAACAAAGATGGGGGGGTATACAGCAAGAAAGCAAGAGGAGGGAGAGCGTCAGACATATCTTCCGGTATGTCTCCCATACCGACTCTATGGTATGACAAGTTTATGAGCAGCAGCTGTGTTTGTCAATCAAGGCAGGCCAGGGTGTTTGTTGGACTATTTCTCATGAGCGAAAAGGGAGCAAGAAATGCACAAAAAAAAAAAAAAAAAAAAAAAAAAGGCGCAGGAAAAAAAGTAGATCAGGGTAGACTGTGTTCGCAGTGTGGATTCAATGAGCCCAGTCTTCAGGACTCAAAGAGGGAATTAGATTTGCCTCTCAGCTGCTAATGAGCCATGGATGGCATAATCAGCAGGATATATATATATTTTACTTTTTTTTTTTTTTTTATTGCCGGGCACACTTTTCTAAATCAAGTGCAAGTGGTATAAAGTCAGTTTGTTACTCATCTCCCCCACCCCTGCACTCTTTATTGAAAACATCTTTTTCTTACCCTCAAAATATATATCTAATATAGTCTCTATATAGTTTGTACTGAATTGTAGTTATAATGTACCATGCAATCTTTCGAGGACATTTAAAAGTCTCTTCTAAAGAACACAAATGTTGTGAAACTATTTACAGCAAATAACATTTCACCTGCATAGCTCTATTTCTAAATATATTGTCAAAACATTTGTGATTTTACTGCCCCACCTTAGCCCAGCCCAGGCACATGTTTCCTCTCAGTTTTGGCACCTTTCTCTGACACTGAATTGATAGGTTCTTAGAAATACTGCCCAGTACATTCATTACCAAGGACCATGTGTTTTTTAACCTTTCTCCTTTTCTATATGATATTATTGTTGTGCAACAACACAAATACAAGTATGATTAAATTAAGGTACCCCAAAGGAAGGTAAGGGTCCATTTGAAAGAGAGCAGTGAGTTAAAGTATGGAGCAACAAAGCCAATACGCCTTAGTGCCAAACACAAACAGCCACCGGTATTAAAGGGCAGGTTACCTTTACCCGCCACCAGCCGCCCTCAGCCATTTAGTGTGAGGGCATGACAACTGTGGTCGCTCAGACTGTGAAAACATGCTACTGTATAATAGCGTCCTTTGGCAAATTCCTAATGTCATGCAAGTCACAAAAATAGACTTTAAGATTAAAAGAGACTACTTTACTCACACAGCTACGCAGCATACGGATTTCACTTTAATGAAGATACTAATGTGCGTAGAGGTGAATGGGTGTGTATGTGTGGCGTAAATGTGGTGTGGCCAAAAGTAATAGAAGATTGCTGAGGTTTTCTGTACTGTGCTTTATATTTTTTTTTTTTTGGGGGGGGGGGTCCTAAAAACAAAGTTGTGCAAATGTCGGTTTGATTTTGACAAAGACTGAGCTATTATAAACTTTTTACTAAGCCTTTTCTCTTAAACCTTACCTTTACCTTCACTCTCTTTACCTGCATTGTTTTCTCTTCAGGAAATTAAAAAAAATGTATGGCCCATTTACCTCTGACTTAGCTTACTCATAGAAGTTATTCACTATTGCCTTTTTCGCCCTTTAAATGTTTTCTTTGCCTTTTTTGTGCAAAGAGGAAGCAGATTGGGCTTTTATCGGCAGTTTTAAAATTCAACATGCAGTAGGCCAAGTTCAAGAGGAGATTACTGAATAACTATCCCTGAGAAGGTTGGTTGTACTTGACTTTTTAAAATCTTTTTTTATAAATGTTTCTCTATTACAAATCCACTTCTAGCGCGGCGGTTAACCATTAGACTAGAGCATGCAGATCGTGACATGCATTATATCTGAGATGGAGCAGTGAACAGCATTCAAAATATTTCAGAAAAGCTATGCTTCACTAGCCAAAATAATTGAAAACTACTAGAAATGCATTATTTCTTACACACAAATTTCAAAATAGGAAATTACTGTTATATTAGGTTTATTATTGGTTGTTTTGACAGATCCCACAAATAAGAATCTAGAGCTCAAATATTACCAGGCTAGCATATTTAAGCACAACTGCAAAATTAAAAGATTGAGTGTCGCTATCTTGACTGTTCTCACTGCCCATCATAAAAGCCACAGTATTCTCCAGTTACCTCCTCGCTTTCCGGTGTGAAACTGACCTGTGCTTTTCTAGATTGTGGAATTAGACACCTTTAGCAATCTGAGTTTCAGCAACCAGTTTCTGTTTGTTTAGGGTTAAAAAAAAAAGCTAAAAAATACTGAGCAGCAGAGAGGTACAATGACATTGTGCCTTAAACCATTTTCTGCAAAACCCAAACACGCCAATCCAGTCTCTTTTTCTTGTCAAACGCAATAACAAAAATCTCTCACAGAACCTGTCAGCCTTTCATACTAACCATTTCTCTCAAATGGCCCATTTTGATCATCCACACAATCGAACATAGGTCGAGAAACCATTTAAGTACCGTTGTTTTATTAGTCATGTTCCACCAGGTAAATATGGTGGTGTAATGGGGTTGGTGTTGGATTGTCCGGTCTATTGTAATCAAACTAGTAGGAACCTGTCCATTTTCTCGTAAGTCCACAGCCAGATAGTTTGGTCCACTATCATGACCCCTGCTGCTTTTTCTCTGTTCCAATTTTTGCTTCCACCCCTCCGTTTTTACTAACAGGGATGCTCATAGCAGCCTGCGAGTTCTTGCAGCGACAGCCAGGCCTACTAACATTGTCATAACACTTCTGTCCCAGCTTTGCCAGCCCCGTAGCCGGTAGGTAGCAGATTAGGCATGGTAAGACAACAGAGAGAGCGGCCATAAAGGACCAGCGTGCACAGCAATTGGCCTGTGAACACGAACAGGGCTTGTCAGCGCAGGAGCCCTCATCATCTTCGTCCTCGGTGCAGTGGTAGAAGATCCCTCTGACTAGGCACATGCAGGTGGCTGCATCTACCAGGCTCTGAGCTGAGCACAGGCACTCCTGGTTGCAGACCCAACAGGACGGTAAGGTTCTGGGGAGCGTGCACTCAGTGCATCGACACTTCCCGCAGTGCTCGCAGACAAACAGGTGCTTCTTTTCAGTTGGAGAAGAAGGGATAAGCGCCAATCCTTGCTGAACCCTAGCCAAGCACACGTCTGCGGCAGGAACCTTTGCAGACTTCAGGTCAAGAGATTTTGAGGAAGAGGAACAGGAGGAAGCGGAAGAAGAGGAGGTCAGGCCTTTAGATTCAGAGGAAGAGAAAGAGCCAGGAGTTCGGGTTGTGATTGTGTTGATGGGGCCCTGGTGAGGGTTTAAGTTTGGATGATGGTCCACTGTCGGAGTCGGTGCTGCATGGTCCAAAAGCCGCTGATCAGAAGAGGTACTGCTGCTGCTGCTAATAGAACTGGGCCTGCCGCTGAAGGAAATCCAAGGATGGGTGGTGTTGTCCTGGTGGGAGTGAGGCTCGCACCTGCCCTGCTGATTGAACTGATGCTGGTGATTGTGATGTTGATTGTGATTTGCCCCAAGAAAAGCCTCCTGATTCTGACCAAGCCAGGTGATTCTTCGGTTTGCAGATTTTTGACTCAGAGGCTGCTGAGCCACAACAGCTGGACTGTCAATGTAGTCATTCTCCACATGCAAAGACTTTATCTGGTCGATGGGATAAATGGTGAGAGGATGCTGAAGTCGACCATAGGGCACTCGACCGTCCAACAAAGGCTGAGAGATAAGGGTAGAGGACACTCCGGGGATGTGGTGGGGAACCCTGGACTCCATGTGTTGGCTGGTGCCTCACTCGTCCTCACTCTAAAGCAGCATTTAGAAACACTGCAAATATAAAAACATGAGATACAGTTAAAATATGAAGCAATTGCTCCACTGTAACATGTAGTTAAGCTAAAACACAACTTCTGGGCCTTTTATGCATAAGGTAATGTTATGTCTGTATTTATCTGTTTAGATAAAAGTATAATTTGACAGAAAAAAATGGGTTATTGATCGTTATGCTTTTCAATGAAATCTCCAACAGGTCTGTTGAATCTACAACAGTGAGTTTTGTCTTCAAAATAGGTTATAAAGTGAACCTTTTAATGCCAGTCTAACATCTACACTCCCAAAACTCATCTTGCTGAGGAAATGGGGAAAAAAAACCCACCAAGACCTGGAATCAGTGACATCCAAACAAGGTCCCAGTTTTCAGGTAAGTGACATTCGTGATAAACATATTTTTTATAACTTTAAACGGAGTAATTGCTGTTAAGAATATGGGTTAAATGTTCTTTTGCTTGTTTTTGGGGTTGGCAAGCTTGGATGATTTTTAAACTGAGGACCGACTGGATCTGCAGTCTGAACGTTCTTCTAACTTTGACATTAGAACAATAGAAGTTGGACTCCCGTCCTCTCCCTTACAAAAAAGCAGAGAGCACCACAGAGCAGGGCTTGCATGCAAAAGACTCAAAGATGCAAAACGGAGGAGAGGGGGGGACAAGAAATTAGCCTGTGTAAACTCCCTCACCAGTAAAACCTTCAGTTTTCATAATGTAGCTGGTGATGTCATTGTTTCGCTTCTTTTGGAGCAAAATTTCCAACCACGAATCAGAGAAAATGATCAGTCTGGGTATTTGTGAATGGGGCTGATTTGACTAACTTGCAGGTGTTTTATTTTTTTGTGAATGGAAGCTGCTCTGATGCTGGCAGGAATGAATCAGTGCGCTCCAATTATGCTCAGTTAGAGCGGCTGCATCCATTTCCTCAGGCAGACCCCCTATATATATAGCTGATGGGAACAGAAAGGGAGCAAGTGCAAGCGCTATTTGCACAAGCATACATCTTAGATGCCTGCTATTTTCCACAAAGATACACTTTGCACACTGACCTGCATATTTTATCCAAAAATAAAACAAGGCACATTTACTTTACACTACTGCAACCCACCTACCGATTATGTTATTCTCATCCCTCTAATAGGGGTCTAAAAGAAAATGGTTGTGAAACCTGTTGCGACATCGCTGGCACAGGCGCAAGCGCTTGTGATCGTCAAAAATGTAGACCATTATGAGCTCCAAGCCGGAACTATGCGTGCGCAAACGCGTGCGTGTGGAATATGTATGTGTGCGTCGCTCCCTTGGAAATGTGAATGGTCTGAGTCATAAAACCGGAGGCGGCCGCTCGATATACTCGAATGGCTGGCTTTTATTGCGCTGATAATAAACATTCGACGTCTTTAGTCTTATTTTGCAGAAAAATATCAAAGGTTTTAGAGATAACAGAACAATATAGAGCGTCACTAGCGACGCGTTAACGTTTTCAGGGGTTAAATATTTATTAGAATTAAAAAGTATAATAATAATAATAAATTTTGATTTTTGCAGAGCGAGAAGGACAAACAGCTGAACTCAATACAGTTTTTTTAACAACGCCAGCGAATATTGTAGCCAATTTAAAAGACGTCATAATCGCTAAAGATGCAGAAGCGCACATCTGCACCTTGTCTTCCTCCATTTCCCCGTTTGCTCCGTAAAGCTGGTCAAATATAGACTTAAAAATGCAAACACTGATCCTAAGGAGTCGGTTTGTTGTAAAATGACGCGTCGCCTATAGCCTGCGATCTGACGGAGTTGATGTAGATTGGAGAACTGAAACAAACCGTGGCTGTTCAGTCGCTGGCAACTTCTTGACTTGTAACGCGAAGAAAACAAGACTTACCGAAGGTTTCAGGACGTAATTCTCATTTCTTCGTCTGGGCGCAGGTCTCTATCTGGAGGAGCGGCTGGTGCGTAAAGTATTTCCAAAAGACGTTAAGTCCAAACGGCGGCTCTTCCAGCGCTATTCTCTCTACTTGCTTGGTGCATTAAAAAAGGCGACTGCGGTGGAGGACGCAGAGCTGTGGATATGATGTTGCAACCACCGAGGGGGAGGGAAGTGAGTTTTTATGAATGGGAGGGTAGAGGAGAGGGAAAAAAAGGAGGGGGGACGGCGCTGCGCAGATGCCCTGGTTTTTTTTTAACCGTTTTTTTTTCTGAATGGGAGGGAAGAGTGTGTCGGGGAGGGCTTGAAATGCGGAGGTTACATTTTTATGAATGGGGAGGAAGCTGAGTGGCACTGCGCACGCGCGACGCCAGGATTTTTATGAATGGGAAGAAATAGCGAATGAGGCGCGTGTGCGTGGGGAGAAGAGAGGGGTGAGGGCTTTTTTTTTTTTTTTTTTTTATAAAAGACACAAGGGCATGATTTACATAAAAGGTCGACTCCAATTAATCATTGTGCTTAAAAAAAGTCAAATAAGGGAGGAAATCAATCATGTTTAATGTATTACCGACAGATTTATTAATGTCCGTGCTGAGATAAAAAAAAAAATGAATGTATTGGAAGTATGTAAATCAATTAAGGTCAATTTATTCCGTCATTTTTAAACCACTTCATCTTGAAAAGGATGTCAAGATGCCAGAGGCCACATGGCTAAAGTGGATTAGTTGGAATAATAGCCGCTCCCCTCATGTGTTCCTGTTCTGTCTAAAGCCATTTATTGCGAGCAAGAACGCGTCCTTCCTTCCTCTGCAACAATGTGAGGTATGACTATACAGCTCCCACTGTAGTGTTAAAAAAAAAACAGGCAGTGGTGGGGGCAGTGTGTGTGTGTGTGTGTGTGTGTGTGTGTGTGTGTGTGTGTTTGTAAAACCCAAACCAGCATGAGGGCAGGCAGGATTCACAAAAGGACAGGATGTTGTTGATTTGTACTGAAACCACACGGAGGAAATGAGTGTGAATTTCCTTGCTCTCTCTGACGCTCTGTGTGCGTGTGTGTGTGTGTGTCTGTGTGTTGGGGTGGGGGTGCGCCCCCCTCCCCAACTCCTTCTTGGGGCTTTTAACCAGTCAAAGGTTAACAGTTGCCCCATTATCCGTTTGCACGCATCGCCATGACAGCCTACACCTCCAAATTGGGCTTATTGTTTCCAAACTACGCTGAAGAGAAAATAGGGGGGGAGGAGAAGAAATGGAGAAATAAAAACTGTTCAAACTTGATATGGAAAGGAATGACATCTTTAATAAATTAGTCTTTTATTAATGTTTACAAGGTCAATAACTATCTGAAGGCATCCTACTTTTCAAAAGGGTTCAGCCTTTTCTCATTACAGTTTACATGTATATTCTACATTTTGGACTTGGAAAGAATGCATGACTGTAAAGTAGGATTAAAATTATACTTATTTCCATTTTTTTGAAGAAAGACAAATGTGAAATAAAAACATTTTTTCACTTAAAATACAGTTGCAAGTCATCTGGAGTATATGCCTCTTCTGGTTTCGCAGATCTAGCCAATGAAAATTGGCTCATTACAAATCAGAAATGACAAATAACATAGTTTGAAAAGATTTTCATACACTCATTTAGGTTTAGGGTTAGATTTTAGCTAGACCATTCAACCACATGATTATAGTCGCAAAAAAGAAACCATTCCATTATATCTATATCCACCTGAAGCCAAATCATATATGTACACAGTAGGTTCAGTGGCTAGAGGACGCACCTGACATCCTGAAGCCAGAGGAGCAATAATATAATAATATTATTGTAATACTTATTCCAGGCCAGTGGGCTGCTTCAGAGGTAATGAAGGTAAAATAAGGCAGGTAGAAGTAGCATGTAAACAATTAATTCAGGAGGAAGAGAAAAGGCGTTTTGTTTGGACCAAAAGCGGAGGAGAAAAATCAGTGACTGTAAAAATCCCCCCAAAAAATTTAAAATGAATAGCTTTTAGAGTTTAAGCACATTTTCTACCAGTTCCACTTGGTCTGGCTCTACTCCACCTCATCAATTTTCAAACTTTCAATAAGCACAAATGGAAATATATGAAAATAAAAATGGGGGTTGTCGTAGAGCCAAGCCCAGTGGAAAAGAGGGCACTTGATTCTAAATTATTGTTGCATAAAGGTAAAGTGGAGAATGTTCTTTTTCCGGGTGGATCATCAAAATAAGTGGTCCTCCTAATCGTCAGTCATTCTGGTGATATTTTTACGTAAAGCCGTCCTACGTAGTCATCCCCATTTTCACTTAACTGTGATGAGTCTGACATAATGGAAAAACTGCAAATCTTCTTCTGGAAATCTATTTCTTTAAGAAATTAGCTGGCACAAGGAGAAATGGGCACATGTGCGCTCTCACACGGGTTCAATAGGCATTCCCTCTTGGGAGCAGGTACAGAGTTGTGCATTTTTTAAAATTTTTTTTGAAGCAATTCTCGAAAATCCTCCACTATACCTTTAAAATGTATCATCTCTAGGAGCTGGTTTCAAATGTAGGAGGTGTAGTTTCAACATATTTTGTCCTTAAACAGGTCTTAAAGGAGGCAGATAAATGAACAAAAATCAAATAGATGTCTGACAGCAATAATATAAATTGTACAAATCCCAGAATGTCTACTGCAACATATTGTCATTATCAGTTCGTATGATATCGTACGAAAAGTTATGCACAGTATTTCGTACGTTTTGGACGTTTGTCCTCAAAAAAAACAGCAGGCAGACAGACGAAAAAAGCAGATCCGTAGACTGACGTGAAACTGGGAAAAACAGTGCAATAATTACTTCTTCATGTCTCTAACTACGTTGCTTGCTGTTTTGTATCTTAGGGTTAGGGTCAGGGTTAGGGTTAATTGTATGTTAAATTATATGTTATTGAATCGTGCGTAAGATGCGCATGTGCAAGGATATCTTGTCTCGAGGCAAGACGTAAAAATACGACAAAATAGGACGAAAAAAACTTCCAAAATGTACGAAATTACGTTGCATAATTTTTCATACGATTTCATACAAACTTATAATGAGAATACACTGGAACGTCTGTGACTGTGGCTGAGAAAAAAACTGAAAGATAAAAAAAAAAAAAAAAAATACACAAAGGTTACAACTTAAAGAACATAAAATGAATGAAGAAAAAGAAAAGCAAAGAACAAGAACAAACAAAACAAGACAAATAAAAACAAAAGAGAAAAAAATCTAAAAAGGAAACTACCACGTAAAAAAAGATTTTTAGAAATTTGAGAAAAACACTAAATGATAAAGATAGCAAGACTAACAAAAAAGGGCAAAAAGTAGAAACAATCATTTAATGATATCTGAAAGAAAGAACATTACATTATCAGTTTATATGTGATATATCATTATAAAACTGGTTTCCTTTAGGAATAACCAAATTGGAATACTTGGATTAGAATAAACTGCTTCATTTGAATAATCAGTTTTTATTGTTGTTAATGTAAAAGAAAAATAGATTTCATTTAATAGGAGGAAACTTTTTTTGCTCAGAGAAAAATAAAAAAATTGGTTTTGTGTGTTTGTTTAGCTTTTGTTACCAGGCGTAGTTCCAATTGGGGTTATTAAATTACCATCTAATAATATTTTATAATATTCTTTTTCTTACAGTGAGCCCACATATGAGTCCAAATGCTCACAAATGTGAAATATTTTATGCTTGCAAAGGTTTTTGCAAAGTTTTACTTCTAAATATATGCTCTTGCAAAATGTTTTTTTTTTTCAGTCTTTGTTGTGGTGATATTGTGATTCCAAGTATTTACCACATTCAGAACACTTTGGGAACCACCACGACTTTAAGATAAACTACAGATGATAGAAACATTTTCAGCAAATCAAAAAGAGAACAATATTTTAAAGAAATCCCCCCCATCTGTACATCTCCTTATGTCTGTCTCCATCGTGCTTTCTGTCTCTTGACATACAGATGTGCAAAGATGCACACGGCTCTGCTGTGGTAACTTTTCCGATTTTTCCTTCCACATCTGCAGAGCTCTCAGGCATGGCAAAAATGAAGTGCTTGTTGAATTATAGATTTCTCAGCTGTGTGATTATCCAGACAGACATGCACCGAAGGGAAGGTCCAACGTTCTCTCCCTCTCTCTGGAGTCCTCTCTCCCTGCCTCACCCCGAGCCACATCTGCTGGCTACCGCTGTGAGGCCGGTTATAACGGACAGCCCCATCTGGCTCCAAAACAGTTAGAGAAATCTGTTTCCTCTTGTATTACCAAGCACTGCTAATTCGGCAAAATCTTTATACAGTATTTTAGAAACGGTACAACTAGATTCTAGAAACACAATAAACATCATACATCTAAAAAAAACTAAGAAGGCTGATAATGGATCAGTCAGTGTGTTTATTCATGTGGTGTGAGCACAGTGTAAAAAATGTAAATTAAATTGACAGCTCTGTAGAGTTTCATCAAAAGCTTCCTTCTGCAGGTAAAGCCATCATTTATCCTCCAGCCTTGACGCCTCACAATACACATTTCTCTCCAATTAGCAATTGTGTAGGACACTTGCAGTGCCATGACTTGTTTTTCTTTATAATTTAGTGCCTTCAAAATGCATCTCACAGCGGGTGGTCAGGTCTGATTGCTTCCTCTGTTTCTTAATGAGAAAAAGTGAGACCTCAAGAAAAAAGCTGAGTCACAATAGTAAAACAAAACTTTGTTTGAATCGTTTTAGGAGGATGTTGTCGGAAAATTTTATTTCTGTTCTTTCCTTCTCATATCGATGTATGCTATTTGCTCTCTAAAAATGTTTTTTTCTTAGCTTAGTTTCTCAATTGCAAGGCCCCCAAATGTCTGAGTGGAAGATGGTTATAGACAAGACATACCTTTTTCCCATAACAAAACCACATACTTTCTCAAGGTAACTGTTTAACCAAAGTGTCTGTTATTGTTTTGACTCTGCCCTAAAAGCAAGAGAACAACTTTTTCTAAGTTAGAACTGGGCAGATCATCATGCTGTGAATGTCTTGTTCTCCTTTTACTTTGCAAAGTAAATAAAGTGCAGACTGAGTAAATCCATCGATCTCCTTTATTTAACTGGACTGAATAGTTGAAAACTTTTTTTTGCACAACAAAGGATAA